TGCGCAAGGGCGGGTGTTTCTGGCAAGAGCCTGTGAAGAACTCACCGTGAATGTTGACAGCCATGATCCCGGCCAAGTCGATGAGCTCCACCTGCGATCCGAGCATTTCCTGCACGGGCGGCTACGTCAAAGCAAAGCAAAGACGATCAGCTCAGCTTCACTCATGCAAGCAGGCCAATGTATGGGAAGGGGGGGTGCTTACCTCGCCGTTGGACTGGAGCTCAACGTAGCGCGGCGTACGGATCTCCTTCATCAACTCGGCAAGTCGATGATGGATGCCGTCATCATAGGTGAGATCGAGCGAGGCGGCTAGTTCGATGAGCAGTTTCGAGACCAGCTTCTCATAGCTGACGTCGATCATGTGGTGGATGATGGCCCAGGCGCAGGCAAGACGGTCAAAAAACTCGAGACCAACAGCCTGGCAGATGATGTCGGTGACCTTTGTGCAAAAGTTCTTCTCCGCCAGAGGCAAGTCTTTGACAAAGGTGGGAGGCTCCCATCTCATGTCCTGGCGGGGAAACTTGAACCTCTCGGGGATCTCGTCGGGAGCAGGCGGGCGGTCGATGGCCATGTGCGCGGGGGGGGCCATGGCTCCAGCGGCGCCCGTCATGGGAACGGGCATGGTGTCGGGAAGGGGTTTCCTACATTATGTTAGCCGTTTCTAGATGTATATACACATTCTCCGGCCTAGTCATCGGAGATTGGTACGCGTGGCATTTAGGTCAGTCACCCACCAAGCCAGTATATACCGGGAACTCAGGCCGCCAGAGCTCACTTCTTTATTTCACACACAGTCGACTAAGTCCGCTGACTTGTGTGTATTCTGTTGATTTTGGCCGAAAGCGGAGGTTTGCGGTTGCAGCGACTGTTGGTCGTCGCGGCGATGGCTGCATTGGGGTTGTGCGGTTGGGAAAAGCAGAAGCGGGCAGGAATATCAGATCGCGGCGGAGAAGGTTTTCTATACACTTGCCTTTGAGGGAGAGGCGTTTTCGGTGAATGTAGATGAGGGCGTGGGTAGGCAGGTACGCCAGGCTGACGCGTCGCGGTTGTTGCGTTGAGATGCGCTATGATAGTGTTGCCACAATTCACACAATAGAGTTACGAGTCTGTCACGGGACCTGACTTGAGTGCATGATGTGTCATAGGACTTGATTTGAGTGAATGATGCGTCACGGGACTTAACTTGGTGAATGATGTACTACGGAACTTGACTTGAGTGAAGGATGGAGTAGTGTTACGCCTATACGCTTATACAAGTTGCGAAACTGACTTAGACAATTTCCACAGTTTACACACGAATTGCCACAACTCAGCAACCCAGAGTATAGAAAGTCATGAGAGAAGTCTTGTCTATATTTATGCAAAGATAATATCACGGCATGACCACCTTTCTCAATAACGACTACAGTCGCTAGATGCACATTGAAAAGTCTACAACTCAATACTTGGCAGTTCGCTGCGTAGAAAAGATTTGACCACCCCCTCAGCCACCCCTCATCCATTTGACATGGCGAGATCCGGAGGGAACATGCACTGGTTCATGTAAATGTCACTGTCGGTATCCATCGCCATCAACGTGAACCTCGGCATCGCCCCATCACGTCCCATGGCATAGTCATCCACCTGCCTCATGAAGAACATGGTGTCGGGCTTCATCACCTTTTGCGGCGCCAGCGCCATGAAGGATCTCTGGAACACATTCACATGCACCACGGCGAGATGCTCCTTCGCCCATTCGTACGCGCTCAGCGGCATGCCGCAGCTCACCATGGCCACGAGCATGGCCGACATCTCCCACGGCGCATCCTTCAGCCTGAAGATGATGGCCGACCGGTCCGTCATGGCCTCTGCGTTGGCCCGCGACCCTTGGTTCCAGTCGATCCAGCCGAGCGTCCGCAGCAGCGCCTCCAACACGAGCCGCCTCTGCAACGTCTCGCTGACGCCCCCATCGTGGCCGTCCTCCGAGTCCGAATCCTCCCTGTCCTCCTGCGCCTGCAGTCGCGCAATCTCATGCATCAGCTCGGCCTGCGACGTCACCACAGCATCTTGCTCGCAAAGATGGAAATGACAATCATGTGCGTCATGCTCACGGCGAGGGCCGTGACGCATCCTCCGCGTCGCGTCGCACGCGCTCAGAAGCTCGAGCGCCTGTCGCCACCGACGTCGGCGCCGGCTGCGGCTGCAAGGTCAGGAGCTCGACGACGCTGCGCTCCGGCGCGCGCTGCACGGGTCCGTTGAAGAGCTTGGCGAGGTCGCCGAGGCAGACGGGCTCGGGCACGCCGCAGCTCAGGGTGCCGACGTCGCCGTCGAGCGGGCTCTCCGAGTCCATGAGGAACGGCGCGATGCCGGCGTCGTGGCTGCGCAGCTGGCGGCAGCAGTCGAGGAAGAGTTCCGAAAAGGTCATCTTGCGCGCCGTCGTCGGCACCTTGTAGAACTGGTACTGCGGCATGATGGCGAGGATGAAGTCGCGGCCCTTGGACGTCTGGCGCGTGCTGACGAGGTGCAGCCCGAGATCGCGCGCGCGCGGCACCGCCGGCGAGACCTTGCCGCTGCTGGCGCGCGCCGCCTCGCCGAGCCCGAAGTAGGCGTCGAAGAAGGACCACTTGCCCGTGCCGAGCCTGTGCCACATGGGGGTGTCGTCGTCGAGCGCGTACGTGTCCCACGTCTGCGCCAGGATGCCGAGGCTGCCGACGAGAGTGAGGGCCTTGTCCATGGACGGCGCGGGACGCGAGGGGCTGTGGCCCTTGAAGTCGTCGCCGGGTACAGGCTCGCATTTGGCGAACTGGACCGTGTCGGACAAGATGACTTCCTGGAGCGGCCAGAGTCGCGAGAGGACGCCGTCATCCATGTACTCTCCCTTGTGGCTCTGCTCGATGTGCGCACGCAGCTTCCCTCGGCCGTCCATCTCCTCGTCGGTAAAGTCAATATCCGACGATTGGTCGTCTGGTCGTCTACCGTATCTAGTCTTACCCAGGAACGCATGAGAGGGCCCGGCCGCCTGGGCGCAGCACGCGCGGAAGCTCGCGCTCTCCCGCACGACGAGACTCTTCTGCGCCGCGCGGAACACCCGCCGGGATGTGCTTGCGTGACGGCGACACGGGCATCGGCATCGCGCTTGTCCACACAAGGCACGTTCTATCCAGAACCCAGGGCGTCGCCTCATCAAGACCTTGGAAGCTGCGTCTGCATGAAGAGGCCTTCTTCTGGGCGAATACGATGATCTTCCTCATCGACGGCGGTCCACCTTGGCCCAGTCGGCATCGGGGCCC